ATTTTGGCCATTTTGGTCATAAATGGCGTATGGTTTTTGCACTCTAGCCTTGATATGGGTATGTTTTAAGAAGAAGCCACTTTTTCATCATTATCGAAAAGAAAATCAACAAAAGCCCTTCACAAATTATGTTTACGGCAATTTAACATTGGTCATTACTAGGAAATAATTTTAACGCGGGTCTGAAACAGAGTTTTGATTTTACGGTCAGGTCATAAATAAGGTTTCGAATTTTTGTTCAGGTCATAAATAGGGTAGGGAATATCGTAGATTTTAGTAATGAATAGGGTTAGGGTTTTGGGAGGCGGGCCGCACACCCCCACCCAATTTTTCTGGGAGTACCCCCGCCCCAACGGCGTCGCAGCAATAAGGTCTCCGACACTGTAGCTAACTGATTTGAGAATCACCAACCACAGAGGACACAAATTTTCACTGTCACTAACGCTCCTTTCATTCAAAACTAGAATTGAATGGCCTCCAGTGTTGATTGCAACCGCAAGTGTTCCGAGCGTATCTAGTTCAAGGCAATAGGTAACGTCCAAGTTTTTCGGCTCACAGCGCTGCTCTGATGACAAAAACTGGCTTGACATTTTCCACACTTTTTTTAAGATTTGTAGATTTCGCAGTTGAATTCTGCCTTCGCTGAAATTTTTCATTTCACGAGAAGTGACGCTGAAGTCAAGTTTGACAGTGGCGTGATTTTCCTGGGCCAATCACAATTCTTTGCTACGCATAGCGACCAATGAGATTGCTTCGTTTTGTATAGACAACAAAATACGTCAAATTGCTATTTTCGTGTTTGCCAAAGTGGGCAAGGGCCGGCTTTCGAGTTATGTTGAAAGATTAAGCTTTCTCTGTAGCAGTTTGTTTCTTTATTATATAAAACAAATAGATTCCCTGTTGCCGTGCATCTGTTCAGTAAAAGATCACAGAGGACTTCAAAATGAGGTAAGAACATTAGTGACACACTCGGCTATCACCTCGGACGCACGGCAACATGGAATCTATTTGTTAAATAGACAGTGAGTAGCGTAGCCAGTCACTAGCACAATCTCATAACGTGATGATGGTGTGAGCAAAAAGAATTTACATTTTCATGGAACATGTTTTCTATGTCCTAAGTTATAACACTATTAGGGTTAAGCAAATAAATTGATTGACAAATTAATGGAATCTTTAAAAAGCAATGACTTAAAAAAAAAAAAAAGAAGGAAAGAAAGGAAAGCCAGATAAGGAAGTAGATGTCTTGCCAAGTAANACTTTGTAATGATGACGTCAATCGTGCGTCTGTCCTCTGATAGATCATAGGCGAGAACCAATCAAAATGCAAGAATAACTTGGGTTATTATATAAATTTTCATGGAACATGTTTTCTATGTCCTAAGTTATAACACTATTAGGGTTAAGCAAATAGATTGATTGACAAATTAATGGAATCTTTAAAAAGCTATGACTTCAAAAAAAAAAAGAAAGAAAGAAAGGAAAGCCGGATAAGGAAGTAGATGTCTTGCCAAGTAAAATAAGAAAAAGCAGTAGTTTTATGAACGAAGTTCAAACGCGGTCGCGGACGGTCCTTAGGCCTATCGTGATTCATCAGAAGAGCACAAAATAGCCCACGTGCATAATTGATGATGTGATTGGTTTACTAATGAAAATGATGCATTTTCCTCACGCGGAAAATAATTTTTAGTTGTCGATTTCGTGTTAGCTTAGCTAAGTCGTTGGCAGTGAGCTCAGGGCAAGGGGAGGGGGCGGGGGCGGGGGGTGATGTTAGTGGTTATGGCTAGGAGTAACGATTAGTTTTAAAATTTTTGTGGCGCCATGGTGCTTGGTACGTCCAAATGCTACGTCCATATCCATGCAAATTTTCCATGTTTGTTCTCTGCAATTCTTGCAGCTGTTTGCATGTTGTTATTTTTGATATAGGTAAGACTTTTGTAAACGGCATCTCTAGTAAAAGTTTGAGTTTTTGTTTGAAGAAGCTTTTTGCTATCTTAAGCTGGAATTTGTCATGTTTATTACCACTGAAATTTACTTGAGAGTATAATGTTTTTTATTTATCAGCGTAGGCGACACATTACATATACGCCTTTTGGCTGTACGCGTTTAAATATGCGTCAACTCGATGTATATTCATGTATTTCATTTCTTACAAAATACTCCATTTTTTGGCATAAATCTTACACGCTTACGTACTTGAACGCAGGTTAGAAAGAACAAATTATTGCTATCATNGAAGAAGCTTTTTGCTATCTTAAGCTGGAATTTGTCATGTTTATTACCACTGAAATTTACTTGAGAGTATGTTTTTTTTATTTATCAGGGTAGACGACAAATTACATATCCGCCTTCTGGTTGTACGCGTTTAAATATGTGTCAACTCGATGTATATTCATGTATTTCATTTCTTACAAAATACTCCATTGTTTGGCATAAATCTTACACGCTTACGTACTTGAACGCAGGTTAGAAAGAACAAATTATTGCTTTCATTGGTAGAAATTTATATCAATAGACTGGAAACGATTTACCCCGGGAAAAACTCAACTACGATAAACCGTCTTAATCGCTTTGTCTGATTAGAAAGATAATATATATTACTGGTGATTAATATACATACGCCTTCTTCGTAATTTACATTTTGCCAGATTAAATTTAGGTAAAGCCACTTGATCCCGCTGAGGCGCTCAACCTAACTCAAACAGAAATTGCGATGTGACCTTCGAGTCTCGAATGTCCTTCACCAGACTTGCAGGTAAGAACTGTGCTTATGTGTGAAAATGATTTTGATCTCTACGTGCCTTCATTGCCAAATGGAAGATGGTGTTTCGTGTTCTCCAAGAACATAATGCACGCTCGAGGTCTAGAGAAACTGGCAGTGGACTCATTAGCGGAACGTGAGAGTGCTCATTAGATTTTGTAGATCTTAAAATTGCAATATATATTTAAGAAAACATAAAAAAAATCATCTTCTTTTTGGTTTGGAATATAGCGTAAAAAAGCGAAAATATTTGCATCTGAGGAAGAGCGGTGATTGCGCTGGCAAATCAACATTCGTTTCATACGTGCTCTTTAATTTCCTATCGTGCGCCTGTCATAGTAATAGTGCACTCTTAGCTCAAATAGCGGGTATACAGCCGCTATATTCTAAAGAATAATGTTTTGCTTAGCACCTGAAAGATACTTTCTCCCTCCAATTGCTAAAAGGAAAGTTACATCCCCTTTTTAAAAAAATATCCAAGAAAAATAGCAGACTTGTGTGCGGTCTTTTGAAGGAAAAACGGACCGACAAATTGTCTCCTTAATATGTCTATTGCTTTGCTTATCAACTTGTAAAACAAATGCCGGACACTGGCCTGTATTTGTTTGTACTCCAGGTAAATATTATGCTAAATAATAGTAATATAGCATTCTTTTCAATAGAAGAAACAGGGTTTCGTTAATAAGCAATTGGCTTGCCGTTGTTGTGAAAGGTTTACTTTGGACGGCTGGTGTTTAAGCTATTATGAATTCACAAAGCTCTTCACAGAAATAATTACATAATTCAGCGAGACATTGGTCCTCGTTTCTTTTCCTTCTGTTATCTAAATAACTGTTTTTCATTCAGACTTACATATAAGAAGGTCATTATGTTTCTCCTTTTCTGTGTGCGAACGTAACCTTCAGAGAAAGCGAAATAATGTTGTTCCACGTTGCAAAATTAATATCTGCGAGAAATTGAATGTTCATAGGAAAACTTCGACGTTTGTCATTTTCCCCAGCGATCACCTGAAACTAAGCTTAACGCCTCCTAATTAGACGTTTGTCTACTAAAAAACAACCAGACCAGAACATAGCTAATAGAGCGGAATGGTTATGGAGCACTGCAAACATCAAAGATGCTAAGATTTATGCTGGAAGGTCAAGGACCGTGCGCAATCTTTTGTTTCGCGCTCATACGCTAAGCAATAAATACGCCACCTAAACGTTTCTATTTGTTAGTTCCTCAGTCAGTAGTAAAGAGCTATTGTGTTTCGTGCACGGTCAGACCAAAAATGAGAACAAAAACATACAAGAACTTTGTCGGGTTTTCATAACTAGTCCCCTCTATTAACTATGAAGAGAACAAAACAACACAAGTTGACAGTGAACGATTCTCATTACTTGAATAACTCGTAAACTTTGAGGTATGCGATCTGAAAATGAATCGAGCAAGAATTGCAAAGTAGTGGGCAGCTTTGGCCGATTTTTATCCTTAAATCGAGGCCTTGCCTTTTTTCTTCAAAGACAATAGTTCAAGTTCGTATTCCCGGTATTGGACTGGAACTAGCTTGCAATGGAGGCTCATGGGGAAAAAAAAGGGATGAATTCTATTTCCATTTGGAAAAAAAAACCGCGTTAGCCTCTGTTGCAAGTTAGTTCCAATCCAACCGAGAATACGAAAATGGTCTATTGCTTTCCTCTAATCAATATTCTTCCTTTTACGCAAAGGAACGTGTCTCAACCCGATTTTTCAAAATTTCACGAATTACAAAAATTTTATAAAATGTTGAGTGCTAAAATCACCATATTTTAACGTTTGAGTTACTGAGACTTTTAAGTCTTGCTTTTTGTCATAACGGCGCTATTTAACAATTAGAAACGTAGCCCTTGCGGGCTGCAGGTCAATAGCCCATGAGGCGAAGCCGAATGGGCTATTAACCCGTGGCCCTTGAGGGCGAAGGGTCTAATTGTTTTAGTATCACCAAAATAGTCGGACAGAAAAGGCAATAACAAAGATAGCAACTGCAAGTTGAAAAAATATTTATTTGGGAATAAAACGAAAGAAACCGTCACGCTCGACTGCGCCAATTTCGTTACTCAAGGACTGTTGCTAATAGTCCTCTAGTAGCGTAGCCAATTAAAATGCAGGATTTCCATCAGTCCAGTAGTTGGATGATACTAAAAAATGTGAAACCTTTCGTAGACATGTAACGAAAAATATCTGCAAAATTCTCATAATTTATTGTTTTATTTGACAGGCTTGTAACATGGCAACGAAGGCTCTTCTAGGGAAGAGTCTGTGGAGAACGTTTCTATTTGCCGCCTACAGCATGTTAGGTTCTTGGCTTTTTTGCTACGTTGAAAGGACCCCAATTACCTACAAAGAGATGTCAGCTAATATGCTTGATGAACTGCGACAAAAGTACAACATCACGATGAACCATTCTGATTTTATCGCATTTGCTAATGACCCTTACAAGGCTATTAAAGTCGGAAGAAAAGTGGAATGGACCTTTCTAAATACGACCTCCTACGTGTTTACGATATTGACAACAATAGGTAAGCTCAGTGTTGCCTATGCGATGCTATGACGAAGTCTCGTAAGCTTAATAAACTCACTACTGGCAGTTAATATAAGCTGATGAATGACTAAGTGTCCACCGCCCCCCGTCCCCTTCCTGTACGTCCGAGGGTTAATCTGATTTGCAGTTTATTTGAAGTTTTCTCTTGAGGACATCCTCTTGACTTCTTTTCTCAATAGTGAACATTTGTCTACGATACTTGTCTCATTAATTACCAGTGCTGTCATACAAAGTACTCATCCATTTTAGTACCCATCCAACTTAGTTCAATACCAACTGCGCAATGTATCGTTTTGGATCTGTTGAAAGAAGTTCGTACAAAGAATAATGCTATTCAAGGGAGAGCAAACAAAATAGAAAGGTAGATAGCGGATAGATGGGGGTAATGGACGGACTGAGAGACAGACAGACAAACAGACAGACCGCCAGACAGATAGTCAGACAGGCCGCCAGACATATAGACAAACAGGTAGACAGGCACAAAGGCAGACAGGCAGACACACAGTCAGACATAGAGGCAAAAATGGATGCTAAGAGACCTTTACACAGACCGTCAGGTAGTTTCTGGAACGTAGTGAGTTGCCCTATTTTCAATTCATTCTATTATTATTATTATTATTGTTATTATTATTATTATGATTATTATCATTATTATTATTATTTTTGTGGCTCACACGTTTGTATTTTTGGGATTAAATCTTTTCAATTGAAACTCTACTAGTAATGGTGCCTACTGACATTATATTCTATGTTCGCTTTATCATCAGGATATGGTCACATGACGCCGGACACATGGCTTGGTCAACTCTTAACCGTCTTTTATGACCTCGCTGGCCTACCAATATCTATGTTGGCTCTGAAAACACTTGGCGAAGTCATAGTCAGTGGTGCACAGTCATTCGTTGTGCGGATAGAAAAGCGGTTATTGAAGGTCAGGGATGTTCGTAGAATCAGACAGAAGACGTTTTTGGCGACTTGTGCGCTAATGATACTTTTCTTGTTACTCGGAAGCGTTATTAACTTAGTCGCCGAAGGTTGGAGCTTCGTGGAAGGTTTATACACCTGGTTTGTTGTCCTGTCCACCATTGGATTTGAGGATTACATCCCATTTCAGTCTCTGGATCAATGAGAAATCCAAGAGAGGAGGAGATCAAGAAGTTCTATGGGTGTTTATAGCTCTATTAGTGTTTTACACCCTGGTTGGCCTTTGCGTAGTTTCAGCCGTGTTGACGTCTCTTGTCCAGGCAGCAGAGGAATATAAATCCAGAACAAAAGCCGGTGGCAAGTTAGCTCAGTTTTTCAAAAGGCAGACGGCTAGAGTGACTAGATCATCTGGTTACGTAATAAACCATGAATTGGCTCTTGAGGAAAATGGACAATGTAATGCGTTCTCTTCGCCACAAAATTTCCGTCGAGTGAGATCAAAGAGTCTTTAATAGCAAGGTCGATTGAAAGGAGTAACGGAAGTAAATAAGCTTTTCTGATCGTCTATAACCGGCCTTGGAGGGATGGGGGAATAAAATCGCTCTACTCCACTCTTCAAGTAGCGAGGCAAAAACATGCCGTGAGAAATATATCTTCGTTCAGTGTTCGTTCAGCGAAACTGTCAAAGAAGTTTTAAAAAGAATACGGCGAAGGAGGCATCTTGTAACGATTTTTGCTGCGTTTGTAGGTATAAATCTAAAAGTTATTGTGAAAGTTTCAAATGCAGAGTTTCAGCCGAGAATTTACATTATGTATTTGACAAAGGAGATCATCCAACTGCGGTGAAATGTTCGCCGATAGCAGCGGAAAGTTTCAGGTGAAAGGCCAAGCTCAGTGAATACATATTCACCGAATTGTTCTTGGTCGATGCTGTTGAGTGGCGAAATCACTAACACGCTGGCAGTCGGGTTCGAGGCGGAAAGCTTTGCCAAACAAAACACTTGATAAATTTAAATCTTTTCTAAGCCTGTTGGCAGAATCGCAAGAACATCAAGGTTTGTGAAGTGCGATTCTAACGCTTCGATTTGCTCTGGTTCCAAAGCTTTCTATTGTAGCGAGATAAACATTCCTGCAAGACGTCACACGTATCTCGAATGTTGACAACGCGTTGTCAACGCTCCTTACATAATGAATATAATGAATAGAGGAGGTAAGTTTCTAAAGAAACTGTGGTGCTGCGTCGGTGGGGAGTATAACAAGATAATTTGGTTATATCAACTGGATTGATAACGTGAATTGGCCACGAATCTCTTTACGGTGGCCAATTCACATTATCAACCCAGTTGATAAAGTCAAATTAGCTCCTAACATAAGCCAATCACATTTTTGCGTTGTGACGTTGTGAGACCAACGCGTAATTCAAACTCCCTTGCTTAGATGGTAGTCCCTCCTTTCGCGCGCTCCTCGCCTCCAGGATTTCGCGTGGCCATTTTCTTTCTCGCGGTTTTCTTTCGCGTCACGCACGATGGACTAAGCGAAAGAGGGACTACTCTTAGTCTTTGGAAACAGCTGCATGAAAGTTAAGAAAACTGCAAAATTGGTAGAATATGGCTGTCGAAATATGGTAACATGGAAAAGCGAAGTTCCGAAAGCAATGAAATGTCACAGAATTCTTCTCCAGATAAATGTAAGTTAGAGTACTTGCAAAGTTTAGCAGCTCTTACGGAAAGATTTAAAAAAAAAAGTTATAAACAGTACAGCCCAGGCACACTTCGTCCCCCCAATCCCACGTTAAATAGAGTTAGGACTTTTTAATACATAAACAATAGCGTCCATTTGGCGTGAAAATATGCTCGGGTATTTGCCCTTAGACAGCATCTATTCCTCAAAGCTCACAGTTTTCCGAGAGCGTAGCTTCTGGGAACAGATAATGTCCGCGGACAAATATCTGAGCATATTTTCTCGCCAAATGTAGGCTATCGTGTTTATTATCCTTCAAACAGTTTTGGCTGGGCGAATATTTGGTCACGTGACGCGTTTAGACCAATCGCAAAGAAGCGAAAATATTTGATGGATTATAAGGTTGGAATAACATGGTGTACTTAAAACAGACGAACGATTAACTATTAGCCTTGAATTTAACCAAGACGATGAAACAAATTACACAGTAATGAGACAGGTGGAAGTTCAAAGAAT